CCCAACCTTCCTTCTGAGGAGTGGCTGGTGGGTTTGAACCGCCAGCCTTCTGGTTAGCAGTCAAGTGCCTTAGGCACTACGCTACCAGAGCTCCCACTTAGGGACTAGTTAGACATTATTTAAAATTATATAGATAATAACAGAGGGTTACATTTTTGTACCATTTGTGCAAAAGCTCAAAATTCTTCTCCCCCCTCAAAAAAAAAAAAAAAAAAAACCCTCAATGAGCCACAAAATGTGAATGGGAAAAATATTTTTTAGCATTTTTTATGCAGAAAATGCCTCATTAAAAGCAAATGTTTCAGCCAGAAGACAAAGAACTTGTATTGAGTAGGGGCCTCGATGACAAATCACTAGTGTGTACACTGCTGTATATAAAACTGGAAAGTCTTAAGTGGCTCTTACCCCTTTCTTATCCTTGGGCTGCCTACACTGCAGAAATGTAGTGATTGCAACATGGTATTTAGTATACACTTGTTGATCAGTAAAGTGCATGGTACCTACCATCCAGGTGCAAGTAGAAAAAATGTCAATATGTCATTCAGTATCACTCGATGCTTCATCTGGATATGTTATATCATGTTGATTCATTTACGTGAATTTGTTTTCAGTTGGATGTTTGGCAACATGAACCAAATATTTTTCACATTTTTGCACATATAAAAGCCATAAGGGTAGAGGGTTTGTCATCATATAGCAAACTTAATTTCAAATAAAATACATCAACTTATACTGCCACTGTTGGAACTTCATTGGATGTTGGGCCTCAAGCCAGAAAGATACCAGAGCAGAAGTGCAGACATTGAGGAAGGTGGTGTGGGCTGATTTTGTGGTAGAAACCAAATAGCCCCTCTCTTCACCACCACCCTGCTCAGATGCACCAAGTGTTCACTGTCCCCACCAAGGATCCAGAAGGCAAACTTGGGTTGATGTGTTTGAAGGAGTTCCCAGTTGGGCTCCGCTTCATCTCCTGTGATCCATACTCAGAGGGTCTGGCAAAATTACAGCAACATGCCCCTGGGCAAGGCTGAAACCACTAGTGGTGATGACATTCTTGTGGCATTAAGTTACCCTGCAGAACTAGCTTCCTTCATAGAATGGGAAAGTCTGAGATGGATGATTCTGCTTCAAATGGAATTTTCTTACATCATCTAAATTCTTTCATAACTGCTTTAAAGAGATTTCCCAGTTCACCCTCACCCAGACAGCCACCTCTATCACTTGAGTCGTAATAATAGTCTTCATAGTAGTTAACATTTATTGAGGTTAACCAATGCACCACCAGGGCTCCTTTTTTTTTTTTTTTTTTCCCATACCTTGCTCTAAGTTCTTTATATGTTTTATCTCAGTTAATTCTCAAGGTCTTTAGTTAG